ATATATATGTATAATTATTAAAAGATCCCAATTTAAATCTGTAATGCAATCCTGGATGAGACGTGACGATGCAGAAAGATAATGGGAAAGAACTACTTGAGAGGCTGAGTTGGGAGGATTGCTTGAGTCCAGAAGTCCAGGAGTCCAGGGGTTTGAGGCTTTAGTAGGCAATATTTTACTACTGCACTGCAGCCTGGATGACAGAGCAAAACCCCACCACAAAAAAAAAAAAAAAAAAAAAAATAGAAAGAATCCAGGACACAAACCTGGAGTTACCAACATTTCTGGGGAAGTGAAAAGTAGCTAATCAAGCCTGGAGCAGCAAGAGTCAGAAATTCAGGAGGAGAAGCCAAATAAAGGCATGTCAGGAGTGACAAGAAAAGAGACCTTTTAGAAAAGATTTCTGAATGTTTCGAGAGTTTTATGTATTGATAAAAGGCTACTAAATTTGTCAATTATGTCATTACTGACCTTGGCAAAAACGATTGCAACAGAATATGCCATGAGATTTTTAATTTCATACACTGAATTTATAGATTATTTATCAAAAGATTAACATTCTGAAATAAAAATATTGAATATTTTTAATTAGGAGTATAGCATTGTCCTCTACTTCTTCAGCGAAGAGATACACACACACACACACTCATGCTCATAATTTTCACATTGTTATTGTAGATATTATGCCACAGGTATTCCTAGATTGTATGGAGATAAATGATGACAAACACAAAGCATAATTCATGCTCTCAAGGAGCTTTCATTTTGGAGGGTGAAGTCAGAGAGTAATCAAGTAAACTAAAATATAAAAAAAGAAAGTTTAATATAATGGTAAGTGCAATTAAGACAATAAAACAAAGTGTGCCATAATGACTTTTGGTTTGGGTGCATGTTACTTACATTGGTAACTTCTTTGAGAAGTTAACATTTAAGATGAGAACTAAATGCTGGGAAGTACTAAGACAAGCTTTAACAGAGATCATAGGCTAGGAGAATAGCTGCTAATTGGCCCTAAAGCAAGAGCAATCTTGGACTGTATGATGGACAACAAAAAGGTCAATGGGTTGAGATTAGAGTGAGTGTCAGGGAACAGAGTTTCGGATGTGGGCTGAAAGGTAGGCAGAAACTAGATAATGGGCATCTGTGGAAAAATAGCTTGATCTGATTTATATTTATGAAGGTCATTCTGTGTAAGAGGGGAAAAAATGATTACCTTGGGGCAAGAGTGTAAAAAGAAGGACCTATTAGGAATGTGTCGTAGAGCAACAGTAAACAGGTTATGTTGACTTGGACTGAGACACTTGTAAGGGAAACCAAGAGAAATACACATATGTGGAATCTATTGTATACATGAAGCCAATAGGATTTACTTGTTTATGTGGTAAGGCAAAGAGAGAAAACAATGTTTATATTTAAGCTTTCAGTTTGGTCGCGTGGGTGGATGGTGATGCTATTGATTTAGGTGGAACAAATTGAGGGAAGAACAGATTAGCAGGGGGATGAATCAAAATTATACTTTAGAGTAAGTTTAAAATTCCTATTAGACATGAGAAGTAGTCAGTTAAACATATGAATCTGTGGATTATACAAATAGTGAGGTCTTTGGGACTCAAAAGCATATGGACAGAACTTAAATCTATGTAAGTGGATGAAATTACTCAGAAACAGATTCTTGATTGAGAAGACAGGGAAGTCCATATTAGTATCATCTGAATGTGGAAACATTCAGAAAGGAAAAGGAATCCAATAAGGCAAAAAAAGTTAGGGATTAAAGAAGTAAGTCAGGGTTGTGTGGTGTCTGGAAGTCAAAAGAAGAAAAAATTCCCAACAGAAGGATGTGGTCAATTACATCAATGTTGCTGAAAGGTTGATGGAGGAGAATATGGAGGTGAACATTTTATTTAGCACATTAATGATAATTTTGACAAAGAACAGGTCCATAGAAAGAGACCATAGCTTGATTGAAAGTGGGTTAAGATGTGAATAGAAGATCAGCAGAGGAGAAAATGGGCATAAACATTCCTTTTGTATTTCTTTCCCTGTGAAGAGAAGCCGAAAATAATGCTACAGTTACTAAGGGGGATTGGAGTCATGGAAAGCCTTCTTACTTTTTTAATTTATTAGTTATTTTTTGAGACAGAATCTCACTCTGCTGCCCAGGACGGAGTGCAGTGGTGCGATCTCAGCTCACTGCAGTCTCCCCCTCCCGAGTTCAAGCAGTTATAATGAGGGAAAACAGGAAGTGTACGTGAAGGCACAGATGTGTGGAAGATTTGAAGAGGGCTTCGTAGCCAACTGCTTCTCTTCCAGTGAAGTGTGAGGCAAGGCATCAGCTTAGAAGGATGGTGTAGAATGGTCATTTTAAAACTGACTGAGACTAGGTTCCGGAAGTATAGTCATGCACCATGTTCAGGAAGGCAAGGCTGAGTATTGTAAAAATGCTCAAACTGCAAATTAATTTATCAGTTAAATATATTCACAATCAAATTACCAATGAGCTATTAAGATGTGAATGATAGAATCAAATGTCTTCCAAAGGGGTAAAGAAGAGAAAGAAGCTAGAACTGAAGAGTTAGCCAAAATATAGCTTATTAGAACATGTCTGATGAAGGTAGTAAAATAATAGAAAATGAAAGGATTACTTTAAAATATTACTAGAAAAATTGTAGCTTTGACAAAAGTTGAAACGTCACCATTTTCACATGTAAAGATAAATTTGACATTTATTGTTAAACATAAATTGCAGAGTGTGTGACAAAACATATAAAATATATAAATTGTTACCTAAATTGAACTGTATGATGGACAGCAAAGACATCGATGAGAATAGAAAATTATATCCTAACAGTAAAAATCACTGGGAAAAAAAACATCGAATAAAAGATATCCTTCACTATACAAATATTTTAAATATTTCTCTGTCTAAAAATCTCTGCCATGCAGATATTAGAAGCCAAATAACAAATTGAAAAGAAGTTATTACCACAAATATAACAAAGTCTCCATGTCCCTAACCTGTAAAAAAACTTCAACAAATCAATAAGAAAAATGTGAACAAGTTACTTAAGCAAATTTAAATAGGCAAATTTTATACCTTATCAGTTAGTGAAGACTATTTATATGTAAAATTTAACATGAAAAACTATGTAGTGGGTTAAGTACACTTACATGCTGCTGGTAAGAATACAAAATATTTAACATTTTAAAAAACCAATTTGTCTTTTCACATCAAGGGTATTAAACAGATTTTTAACTTTGGTTTGAGTAATTTCACTCATAGGAATTTTCTATTGAAAAAAAGGTCACACATCCAAGAGACTGACATTACTGATTTCACACACACATACACACACAGAGACACACACAAACACACACACGACAATGTTAAAGGTAAAACAATGATAAAATAGCTAATAATGTTACAAAACACCCATATGATATAACGTTATACCATCACTCAACAGTATTTCCAGGGCCATTTATTCTGTAGGCATTAGATTTATTAAACACTTATTACATGACACATACTGATTACAAATATAAAGATCCCTTATATTTATATTTATTAACTTGTTTAATCCTCACAACACTACAAAGTAGGTCTTATTGTTAATGTCAATTTCCACTTTGCAAACTTGCAGACTTGCAGACTTGGGCACAAACAGGCTAAGTCATATGCTAAAAATTACAGAAATAAGTGGGGTGTATTCAATTCTAACTTCTGTACGCTGATAACTGAACCTAGACTCTTTGCAGCGCTGTATACTGCCACTATATAATATAAGTAAAATAACTATATGCTAGTAGGTTAAAAAAAATCTGTTTTACACAAACATATCAACTCAGTAAAATGCATGTCTGTATTAAAATGGAAAGAAATTCATATAAATATGTGTAGGAATTCTCTCTACTCAGCCTTGCCTTCCAAACGTGATATACTACTATACTTTCTGAACCTAGTCTCAGTTACTGTTTTAAATTACTATAGGAATTGACTTAAAAAGTGTTTGCGAATCTTCAAACAGCAATATCCTCCAAAAGAGTGTCATTTAATTGGCCATATTATTTTATATTATTTTTAATCTTCAAAATGCAACTCACAGCTTTTGTTCACATCTTTTGTTTTCAGTATTCTCAGACTTATAAACTAATAATAGTGCAGCATAATTAAGCTGATGTGAAAATGCATTGTGTTGTCCTCCCCTTCTTTAGCGCAAACACACAGACACACTGACTTAAATATCCACACCCATTATGCATCTGAACACTGAAATGGTTTGAATGTTACAAGATAGCGTTGGATAATTGGAAAAATCACTATTTTGCTTCTTTTTTTTTTTTGATTAGCAAGAAATAAGCAGAGTTGTTTATTGTGAACCTTGCTTATGGACTACTTTAACCTCCTATTTTCTTCACTTTATTAATAATTGAATTTTAGGAAATATAAGGTATCTCCATGTCAAAAACCAACAAGCAAAAACAAACAAGCAAAGACATTCGTTGGAGTGTTTCATACGGCTGAAGTTTAGAAAGAAAAAAAAAATACAAGCAAACTACTACTAGTCGGGGCATTAGACAAGAAGTCTATATAGCCTTTTAATAAGGTCAGTTGGTCTAAATTTTTGCAAATCTCAAGACATCTCCCCTTTTGATGTTTGGGTTTTGCTTAGGCCACCCACTTGAAACTTTCCTTTCTCTGATCCAATATAAACTTCCAAGGTTAACGGTCATGTCCCAAAGTGGGAACCCATTTAACTAAGTACCTTCCTGGGAAAATAAAGGGTAAATTTTAAATAGAACGAAGAGTAATTTTAGATAGTGTAAATCATGCCCTACAAATTACTTCATGGAGAGAAGATTTAAAGATAATTTGACAAATCCACTTTTCTGTTACATGCTATACTCTGCACTGTATTGGTTTTACCATTAATTTTTGATTCAAAGCATGAATCTTCTGACTCTCAGGAGAAGGAATTTTGGAAGCTAGCCACGAGCTTTCCCTAGAGCGTGGAGTGTGCCGGCAGCATGTATTTTCCCAGGACCCTCCTCAAGGCCCCCATGACCTCCTTATTCTTCAGGCTGTAGATGAGGGGATCCAGGGCTGGAGTGACAATTGTGTAGAAAACAGAGATGATGTTGTCTTGTTTGGGGCTGTGGAAGGAACTGGGCAAGACATACATGAATGTGGCAGCTCCATAGAACATCCCAACCACAGTTAGGCGGGAAGAGCAGGTGACAAGGGCTTTCTTCCTCCCCTCATTTGATGGCATATGGAGCACAGTGAGTAGAATTTGTGTATAGGAGGCCAGTATAGCAGCACGAGAGGGAATCAGGAAGGTCACACCCATCACATATACCATGAGCTCATATCTAGCAGTATCAGCACAGGCCAATTTCGACAAGGGTGGGAATTTCCAGAGATGTCTGATCTCCTCGGCCTTGCAGAAGGGATAGTGCATGGTGTACACGGTATATACTAGGGCACTTAGGGATGCCAGGATCCAGGATGTGGCCACCATGAGCCAGCACACTCTTGGGCTCATGAGATTCATGTATTTCAGAGGATGACAAACGGCCACATACCTGTCATAGGCCATGAAGGCCAGTAGGAGGTCTTCAGCGCCACCGATTGTCAGTGCCAGGAACATCTGAAGGGCACAGCCTCCAAAGGAGATGGTGTTTTCTCTGCACAGAAAGCCCGCGAGGGCCTTGGGAGTGACAACAGATGTGAACAGGAGGTCCATGAGAGAGAGCTGCCCAAGCAGGAAGTACATGGGCACATGGAGCCCAGCTTCCATGGTGATAGCCAGGAGCAGCAGGCCATTGCTGGTCAGGGCCAACATGTACAGGACTGTAACTGTAGCACAGTTACAGTGCTACAGTGGGTTCAGGAGTGGGTTCAGGAGACCCACTGAACTGAGTGGGTTCAGGAGACCCACTGTCATTCAGAATCCCTACCAAGATGAAGCCACTTCCCAAGGTGGAGTTCTGGAGCTCCATGCTGCGGTTTCTTTCATCACCTAGAACAAGATGGATATCCACGAATTTTTGCTAAGATTAACTCTAGTTTTGTAATATCAGAGGCTCCTTAGGACATGAATCCACTGAGATGATACCCTTTCCACTGATAACTGATTTTGCCTCTTGATTTCTGAATGTCTGACTTCTCATTGTATTTTGATAAAAGTTCCATCTAAATGGAGAACAGACATCACAGTAGTAACTAAACATTAAGACGTCACACATAAAATCTTATTTAGGATATTAAACCTGAACATGTATCTTTCCAAAAACAATACATTATCTTTCCAAAAACAATAAATTACCTTTCCCTTAAGATTAAAGAAATATTCTGCTGCACACATCCTTGATCATCTTTGTACCTATCCAGTTAGTTTTCATCATAGACTTGTTTTGATATGAAATTCCAAACAGGTACAGAGACTGGATTTCAATAAAGCACTTCCACTTCTTTCTCCATAGAACTTAGAGCCACATTTGTTTGCAGTACTCAAGGCGGTAGATGAAAGCCTCATTAGTAGGCTAAAACTTGTCCACCTTAGTTACCTCTCTTCATCAGCCACACATTCTACAGAAGCTTAAGAGAGAAGGGATGAGGGACTGAGACAAGAGAATGTCGTGTTTGGGAAAATGTTGCATTTAGAGCTAAATACTTTAGGGTCAATGCAAACGTGTTTATTTAAAACAGGTTACATTAAGATGTGAGCTTGGAAGGGCTCCAAAATAAAACATATGAGGTCCTTCCTAGGAAGATCAGAATGTTTGTGTTTGGGAGAAATGGTGAAAGGGAACAAGAGAGCATCTGTTATATGCTGTAATTATGCTCAATAATTCTATCCCCTCTCCTGCCTTTGACCAGATGTTCACTCTCCCTCCTGCAGGGACAGAACATTTAAACTGGATGGAAGGACCACAGGGATAGGGAGGAACTCCTTTTCCAGAAAGCAGCTGTTGACGTCGTGGTACCCAAACCCACGGAGAAGCCAAGGAGAAGGACAAGGGCCTAAGATTGACAGGAGTCTGTGTACATCGTGAAACTTGATAGATAAAGCCAACTCTGAACATGCAGTTAAAGACTTTGAAGTGAAGCATCCTTCTGTAAATCATTTCCCCATATTATGGCATCTGTGTTTTCATATTTCACTGGTTTCCACTGGCCTCTTATGGGGCCATTAGTACCTTAATGGTTAAAAGGTATAAGAACATGAAATGGATATATCATCACTTTTTAGATGGCCCTTTAGGATATTCATCATCTGATAGATGCAAAAATGTGTTATCAGGAGCCAGCAGAGCACACAGGGTCTAAAGACAAGTATTGCAATTTCCACCAGGAAGCAGATACCCATGCCTGGGCTGTAGCATGGTCCTCACTGGTTCTCTTTTCAGGTTCAGAAAATTAAGAATAGACAAATTGGAACAAGCTATGAAGCCCAAACATTATACTAGGGAATCTGGCAGAACGGGTAGTTTACATTCTTAGGGTACGCTTTGAACTCTGTTTTTCCTACTCAGCTTACCTAGAGACACACCATTCCCTGAAAAAAATACAAAGTCCTTACCTCAGGCGGTGAGAAGCCTAGCTGTGCAACCACTCAGATTTTCCTAGGGATTGTTTGAAGTTCAAGGATGTTCCAGTCGAAATGGGCAGAAAGGATACAGCTTTCTTCAGCAGTGTTCAGATGGTTTAATTTTGCAAAGTTGGGTTAAGTGTCTGAAAAGTCCGAGTGAGATCAGATATCAGGGCCCTTCTATTCCTTCCACTTATCTGCAGGTCTACCCTAGAGATAGCAGTGGATGCAGACAGACAGCTAATACAGAATTTGGGTAGTTTCCTACATAAGAAGATTACTTTCCTGTTCTCACACCTGTGAAACACTAGTAGAAACTACTTTTATATAGGTTCCCAGGAAGAGAGCCCCTCTAGCCCTAGAGCAGTTACCAGACTGTGTTCTTGGGTTCAGATACTCAGACTTTCCTTCATTCTTGCTAGGGTCAGGGAGCAAAGATAAAAGCTGCAGCATCCTGGAGGAAGTAGATATTGAGTCAATATTGAAAGAGCTGCCCAAAGGATATTCTATCGTCCCCTGCCTTACTTTCCCTGGAGCCAAAGGTGGGCCAGAGCCTTGTCCTGAGAGAGGCTGCCCTGTCTTCTGATCCATGATCTCTTCCCTCTATTGTACCCCTATGTTCCAAGGGACTTATCCTCTCAACTCAAATGGCTTCCCTGGAAATGCTGGCCCAGGATCAGGATGACAATTAATCCTCGTGGGTGTGTTTCCTCGCCTGGTATTCCTGTATTCTTCTTTCACTAAATAAGCACCTAGGCTCTATGTTTCTATTCCACAAGGGAGGCACTATCCCTGTGGTCCTTCCATCCAGTTTAAATGTTCTGTCCCTGCAGGAGGGAGAGTGAACATCTGGTCAAAGGCAGGAGAGGGGATAGAATTATTGAGCATAATTACAGAAACACTTACCTTGTTTCTATTCCACAAGGGAGTCATTTCTAAATTAACTAAATAGAGCAGGACACAAAGACTCCTTATATGGCCAGCCCTCTGTCCCAGAATATAAGGTGGGTTTCCTTACTTATGTGGCATGCTGCTTCCTTCTTTATGGTTCTTTTACCCTGGACCATTTCCTATTCAATATGACTGCTCCCTGAGGAGTCTGTAAATGTGAGGTCTTCCCCTCATTGACCTTTGGCAATCCAGTATGGCTTACATATCTTGGTGTTACCGTGTTCTGCCACCAGTGATATTAAAGAGTAAGCAGACAGTTTTCCAAGTATTGGGCACGAAAACAAAAAGGAATTCATACAGTACTGAACTTGTAGAGTATCAATATCCATGAAAACAATTTATATTCTCCCAAAAATAAAAGACAGATTACCCACTAAGTAAAGACAACTAGATAATAGCGGACTATCAATAGCAGCAATAGGACAAGGGAGAAATATATTAAAAAGTGCTGAGAAAATGTAACTGCACACCTAGAATTCCAGGCATGGCTGAGCCATCATTAATGAATTAGGACAAATTAAAAATGACATTGAAAAGTATTTATCCCCAAACACTCCCAATAAAATAATTTCAGCAAGGAGAAAAGTGGCACCTAGAAAATGTATACAAGGAGAAATAATGAACTTAGAAATTGATTCAATAAGTGAATAGGCAAGTTTAATTCGTGAAAAATAAAATGTTTATATTTTTTAAAGAGTCAAACTAAAATTCTTCACAAAATCACAACATGAGTGGAATTTTCCTGTGGGTACTTGAAGTCTGTAGAAGCAGAATATTAAAAGCTTCATACTCATTTATTTAACACTATAATTTCCTTTTTTCATTATTTATTAAAGTGCAATCTACATACAATAAAATTCACCTTTTTTAGTATACAGTTTTGCAAGTTTTGATAAATGTATATAGTCATGAGACCACCACCAAAATCAAGACACAGAAGTTTCATCAGCCACAAGAATTCTCAGGTGCCTGTTTGTATTCCTCCCCTCCCCCTCCCAAGCCCCTGCCAACTGTCTGATCTGTTTACTGTCACTATTATTTTGTCTTCTCCAAAATGTCATACAAATGACATCAAAGGTTTTGATTCTAGTTTCATTCACTTAGAATAATATGTTTGAGATTCATCCATATTCTTGTATCTACGTACTAGCAGTCCTTTCCTATTTAATACTGAATAGTATACAATTGTATGGATCTATCATCGTTTGTTTATCCATTCACCAGTTGAAGGATATTTCTGTTGTTTCCTATTTTGTTGATTATGAAAAAGCCATTATAAACTTTCATGTACAGGTTTTGACACGAACATAAATTGTCTATTCACTTGGGAAAATACCTCAGAGTAAAACTGATTGGTTATATGGTAAGTGTATGTTTAGGTTTATAAAACTTCACCAGACTTTTCCATATTGACTGAACCATTTTGCATTCCCAATTTTATTTCCATTTTGCATTCTTTTAAGCTGTATAGGATAGGCTTTCTAAATTTTAACTCAAAATGAATGAAATATTGCCTGAGGCCTTACATTTCAAATTTTCCCAATTAACATGCAAAGAAAAAAGAAGAGTTTTGTAAAGGAAACAGGATTATTCATGCAGATAAAGAAGGAGGTACAATTCCAAACAGGAGGTCATCTAAGAAAACACATATATGTATATATGCTTAGAGTTGGAGACTGAAAACATTATCACAATTAAGTGCTGTCTACATGGTAACATTGAAAATGTTCTTACAAAATTGCTTGAAATTTTTTTGAGATATGTAAATTATAAACATTTATTTTATTTACTATGGAATACAGCTTTTAATCTCTAAGCCCTTTTATACTCATTTGTCATCATAGGTAATGATATGAAAATTCCCACTTAACAGTTTATAAAACATAAAAAAAATTTTCTTTGTCAGACATGTGAGTCATAAACCTTGAGCCATAAAGTCTTTGTGTCAAAATATAATTTTTGGAAAGCTACAAATATGATGCCCACAAAAATAAAATGATATCTATGTTAACTTAATAAGAAAGTTTGCAAGATAGTAAATCTGATTCATAAGGCATTTGAAGAATAGTTAATGTTAGAACACGTCTACCTTGTTGAAATATATAAGATTACCAGAAATCTTCATGCTGTTGATATGGTGTATCACCTTGTTTGATGTGTATGCTGAACCATCCTTTTATCTCTGGGCCACCTTAACCATTTTTAAGGTGTACAGTTCAACAGCATTAAGTACACTCATTGTTGTGTTGCCATCACCAACATCCACCTTCAGAATTTTTTTTTTTTTTTTTTTTTTTTTTGAGATGCAGTCTCACTCTGTCATCCAGACTAGAGTGCAATGGCATGGTCTCAGCTCACTGCAACTTCCGCCTTGTGGGTTCAACCGATTCTCCCACCTCAGCCTCCCAAGTAGCTGGGACTACAAGTGCATGCCACCACACCCGGCTAATTTTTTTA